GTCGCGCAATCACGAAACAGCAGATCGACGCGCGCTCCAACACCTCATCCCCCACCAGCCGCACCTGTGGCCACTATGCAACGGCACGGGCCAAGAGGGGGAGCGCGCCTTGCGGTGTGCCCTGCTCAGACAGGGTGAAGGTGGCAGGAATGGAGACCTTACCAACCGAAGGCTCCTCGGCGGCGTGGGTAGCCGGCGCCACTGCTGGCCCAAAGCACTTGCACAGCCGCAGCATATCCGGGTGAAAAGCGCGCGGCCGGGTTTGGGGTGGCGCGTACCAGCTCAGCGGGCAAATCTTTTGATTGTAACCGATATTTTTGAAAAGAAAAAACCGTTATCCGTATCTGCCCTTTACAGAAAGAAAGAAAGAAAGAAAACACACAACCCAAGGGAGGGATGGGAGAACGGCACGCCGCCACCACACAGGGATTTTAAGGAGAGGAGGGTGTGATGCGCTAGCCGTCGCCCACCCTGGGGGGTCTGCCTCCTCGTATCTCTTTTCGCAGTCTCTCGCCGCTTCTCGCTGCAACCTTCATGCCACCTCGCGGCTGTCCCACTCTCGTCGTTCTCTCCCTTGTCACTTCCCCCTCTGTCGCGTCGTTCTCTTCTGCCTCGTCCTGCGACGCCGCCGCCTGCCGGTCCCTTGTTCTCGCGGCTTCTTTCGCCTCTCGGCGCAACTCCGTCCTCCTTGCGGCGTATCCTGGCCCCTCGAGTCTATCGAGCTCCCCTCGCGCAAGGACCACATTTCTGACTCCCACTCCGATCATTTGCCTCCAAGTCATGTTGTTGCTCAGGTCCACTCTCTCTTCGAACACTCGTGCCTCTACGGATGATGCCGGCGCTGGGGTCCCCTTCGGATGCATCGTGACATCTGACAACTGAATTTCCACTGGTTCGTCCTCCTCTGAGTCATCTTCCCCGTCCTCCTTCCGCTCGGCTCTTCGCTCGGTACCTTTACAAGCTAAAGAGGGTGTTTACGAATTACTTCTTTTCCTTCGATTTTTTGGCGCGTGATGCCTAGCGGAATTTTACTCACGAACCCTTGACGGCTCGCACGCGTTGATGTCGAGCTGCAGCGTCGGTCTTTGTAACCAGCGGTCAGGATGCCATCCGGGGACATGCTGTCAGCGGAGGTTCGAGCAGAGGCTGCACGGCGGTGCCTACAACCGCACCTTGTACACGCAGCATCACACCGAGCCTCCCGCACTGCTGCTGCTGTACCACATTGAGAAGACCGGCGGGACGTCGGTCATGACGTGGCTGGAGCAAAACATCGTGCGCAAGACACCGCGCCTCGACGCCGTCGTGCCGTACCAAGAGTCGGCCGCCTTCATATGTGCAAGCTTCGGCGGCCTCCTCGGCCGCAGCTGCCGAGATGGGATGGGCCGGGGCCTAACCATCTGCGATCGCCATGCCGCGACGCCTCACGCCTCGCCGCTGCGGGCTCGAATCGCTGTCGAGTTTCACGCGATGGGATGGATGGCATTCTTCCTCGAGACGGTCGCGCCCGCCTTGCCTCGGCTTCGAGAGGTGTACGCCGCCGCCGGGGGCAAGGTGCTGACCGCCACGGTGGTCCGGGAGCCGCTCTCGCACATCTTCTCCGCCTACAGGATGTGGCCTCCGCAGGGCTTCCCCGGCGACTTCATGGGCTGGGCTGAGGGCGTCGAGGCGGCGCAGGCGGGCCTGCTGGTGACGGAGCGGGCCGGCGTGCTGCACACGCGCTTCAGCCCGAGGCGGCGCGGGATGCACTCCTCGGACGTGACGCTTGGCCGCCGCTGTTCGATCTTGCCCGAGGCTCGCGCGCGGCTCAGTACGTTTGACGTGGTTGGCGTGACCTCCTGCCTCGCATCCTTCCTGCGAGCCGTCGAGACGGGGCTGCGACTTCAGCCGGCGATCTGCAGGTCGACGCAGCAGTATAGCCTCTCGCCGGGAGGGGGCCTCGTCTGCACAGACAGGAGGGCGGCGAGCTGGAGATCTCGCGGCCTCCAAGACCCGCCGCTCAACTACTCGCTGCGCAACGTGCCGAGCACGACGCTTACTGGCCCGCGCCTGCGCCCGGCGAGCCTGCGCGCGGCCCAGCGCGCGAGGATCGAGGAGATCACCAGGTGCGACGCGCAGCTCTACGCTGACGCGGTGGCGCTCGCCGTGAGGAACGTGGGCCCGGAGGCTCCCACCTGTCAGCCGGCGCGATGGAGTTGGCCTGTCGAGTGAGCCGATCGTTGAAGTGGGATTGATTAGTTGAATTAGTCTACTCCACTCCGTTTTCGGGTAGTACCTGTGTTGAGTACTTCGAGCACTTGCGACTTGGAGTGCGGTCATCAACCTTGCTCACCCTCACACCATGGCCAAAGAAGGGAAGCAAGCGGTGTACTAAAGCTAGAGCTGGGTCGAGGACAGACACCACATCACGGCCAGCGCGGCGGTTCACTTTGTGCATTTCACTCAACGAATTCTTCAGGGCTGCTTGTGGCGTGTTCATGGCGCCACTGGTCGGCAAGGTCGTGCGCGTCATTGGAACGCAGCGCGCCGACCTCAACGGGCAGGAGGGGCGCGTCGAGTCCTTCAATGACGCCACCGGCCGCTACAACGTGATCCTGCGCTCGGGCGAGCTGGTCGCACTGCTCCCGGCCCGCTGCCAGCCCACCGCAGGCGGAGGAGGAGAACGAGCCGGCGGTGGCCGTCAAGGCTTTGACGTCCGGGGCCTCGCAAGGTCGCTACCTCCTCCGCACCAGCTCGCGGCAGGCCTGGCGGCCGTGCTCTGCCTGGTGTCGGGATGGTCGATGGGCAATGCGGCGCTCGCAGCCCTCGTCCTCTTTGTGGTGATGACCGCGGTGCGCGACCCGGGCGGGCCTCTCGCGGCGGCGCGGTCTGCGGCGAATGCTGCCGCGGACTCGATGGAGCGTGTCACGGGTCAGCGCTTCACTCCTGCGCAAGTCACCTGCCTCCTGCTCAGCACCGCCGCATTCGCGTACTACTTTTGGCTCGCGCCGGCCGCGACAAGCGGTTACGGGGGGCGCGGCAGTGGCTACCGCGAGCGGGGCGGCTACGACAGCGGCGGAGACCGACGCACAACCTATGGCGCGCGGCGTCGAGGCAGCGACAGCGGCGGCTGGTCCGGCGATGGGTACGGCGGATTCAGTTCGTCGAGCTGGGACCTCGGTTACCTCCTCTCTGCCGGGGTGCTGGGCCGCATGGTGTGGAGTCTCGGCGGTGGAGGCACGGCCGCCGGCTGGTCGTTTGGCGAGCTCGTGCGGCGCGCGCAGACGATGGACATCTGGCAGCTGCTGATGCTCTCCAACCTGATCCAGCGCGTGCTCGGGGGAGGGCAGCGCCGTGGAGGCCTCGGAGGATATGGTGGCTATGGCCGCCGTCGGATGTACTTCTGAGTGATGGATTGCACGCCTCCCCCCTGCGAGCTCAGGATTGGCGCAGTGGAGCTGTGGCCACTGTGTGCGGGGGGCACACAGGAGCGTGTATACTTCAAGCGTGGAGTCGCGGGTTTATGAGAGCTGAGACCTGAGAGACGGGGCGGGTTCCGGGTATATTCTAAATGACCGTATATACACGGGTTTCCCTCGAAGAAACGACTGCGTGATACGTACCGGACGGAGAAGTCTCGTCTGACTCCTCCGCCCGGCCGCATTATGTGTGCAGTCTCTCGTGCATACTGCCAGCGCTGTGTCGTTGCGTGTAGCTGTACCGTGTTGGGTGCAGAGGCCAGAGCGGTTTGTGCACACTGCACACCTCCGCCCGCGTCTGCCCGGTACTGCCCGGGATGCGGTGCCCTTAGGGTACCCCTAGGCTTAATAAAGGGTGGGCCCTGGGGCGCCTGCGGCTTAAACGGCTTAAAACCTGCCATGGCAGGTTTTAAGAGCTGCTGGGCCGCCGATTCCTTAAACGGTCTTAAACGCTTAAACGGTGCGGGAGAGCTCCCGAGGTCGATGGTCCGGGAGGCTCCCCGGTAGACGCCGGAGGCCGGGAAGCTGGCTACAGTCAGCTAGCACGCGTCCCCTATGCGAGTATGGCTCCCGCCAGTGCACCAGACTTACAGATGTGTCTTCAGTGGCGGGTTCGTGCCTAATAACGGCAGTATTGGAGAAACCGGCGCGGAACCCAGCGACGCGTGCCGGTGAGGCCGATTTTCTTAAACGGTCTAGAGGGACCCCCGTGCCTGCAATCTCTTAAATGACAATTTGAGCCCCCAAATCTCCTCATTTCTTAAGAGGTCTTAGCCTGCCGTCGGGGAGAGAGGGGACGACACTGCTTCGGCAGCGTGCACCTCGATCCTGTCGGTGGAGGTGGCGATGGGGCAAGAGCCTGTCGCGCTGACTGCGGGGGCGTCTGGAAAGAGACCGCAGGTAGCTGCTGGGCAGAGGCAAACTCGCGAGAGCCATTGCAGAGATGGGGCTGCGGTGCCGCTGATGCGTTGCTGCCAGGATGCACTGCAGCGCTGCCGCGGGCTGGCGCTGCAGCACAACCCCGATTGCCCGGATCCGCACGTGCACCGCCGTCCTCAAGTCGCGTGACGCTGCCGTCACGTCCAACCACAGACATGCGGTTGCCAAACCGCGAGAGGAATGCGGCCGACGCCATTCGCTCGACGTTGGGCGTCGTTCGTTTGTCGTTTCGCAGTTTTCGCACGGCGGTCGCACGGCGGTGCTGTTAACACACAAGATCTCTTTGAGCGTCTTTGGCTCACGCCAGGGCGCTCGTTGCTCCTCCGTCTCTTTGTATCTTCCATACTGCGTTCATCAGAAGACCTCTTTAGCTCTCTTGGTTCATAATTATTTTTGTTTTTTTGTTTTCCTTGTCGGAACACGGCCCGTGGCTTTCGGGTGTCAACCGTTTGCGGCCGTCCCCACGGCGGTGAGTAGTCTCTGTGAGGGCATCAATCGATGCCCTGGGGGCGACGAGCTGTGACCAAAGTGTCTCACCATGCGCAGCTCGCAGGTAGCACCATCCTTCCACAATCTCGCCGGGCATTCTCGAGTGCTGCCGCGATGGACATCCGGCTCCTTCCCGTCGAACAGTCCGTGATGATGATGAGAACGGAGAGTGCCCTCCACACCATCACTGTTTACGAGGGACAGCCGCCCATCGACTTCTTGCGGCATAGAGTCGCAGAAATGGCACGTGCAAATCCATGGCTGGCGGGAAGCCTCGTTGGCGCTGGCGGTGTCACGGTGTTGAGGCACCCCGTCGATCCGAAAGGTGATTGCGTGGAGCATCTTTTCTATAGCCCTGAGTGTGGGACGGTGCGCAATCACCGCACTCTGCCAGGCTCGGCGGCAGTCTACAGGCTGCCGCAGCAGGAGGGGATGTCCTACTCCCAGATGGTCGCTGCGCTCAGGCCAATGACGGTCAAGACGGGAGCCACCGCAGTCAACAAGGACGAGCCCGTCTTTTGTGTGTCCGTGCTGAGGCAGGGAAAGAGCAAGTGGTGGCTCTCGGTCAGCCTGAGCCACGTTGTTGGCGACGCCCACACCTTTTACTCCCTCCACAACATGCTGGGCGAGTCGAGCGAAGTCAAGCGCATGGACGCCGTGCGCAACCGGCAAGCGGAGGCGAGAGAGTCCTTACATAACTCCGTTGCCTTGGACGGTTAAGTTTGACTCCATCTACCGCAGGTGGCCGGGGCCAAGGACATCGCGGCAATCGAGACCTCGGCGATGGCTCACGCAGCCGCGGGCAAGATGAAGCAGCTCTGGGCTCATCCGCCGCCCGTAGCAGGCTTCCACCTCAGTCCAGCGTGGCTCGAGGCTCAAAAGGCGTGTGCAACCCACCGCTGTGCGCTCGACCTCCCAGCGCGGTTCGATCCCCCAGTCCGCTCGATCAGGCGGAAGCGGCGGCGGCAGGCGGCGTTCCGTTCGTCTCGTCCAACGACGTGGCCACAGCGTGGTTCCTGCAGCAGAGCGGGGCGGACCTTGGTGCGCCGGACACGGGACACGCCGCCCCGCTACACACGCCCGCAAAAGCCCATGCCGCTCCTGTCTGCCCCCAGGTCTGATGACTTTGGACTTTCGCAATCGCCTGCCGGGCATCGGCGTCGAGCATGCTGGAAATTACGAGACCTCGATCGTCTATCAGCGAGCCGACTTTGAGTCTGCGGCGCTCATCCACAAGTCGGTGTCAACTTTGAGGGGCGCTGCCGAGCCACGAACCGGAGAGCCGGGCCTGCTCGACTGGGCGAGCAGCACATCCGCCGTGGTGTCAAACTGGGCCTCCCTCTTCAAGCAGCTGGAGTTTGCGGGCTCCTCTCACCTCACGCACGTGCCGGTGCTCAACGCGGCGAGCATGCCACGTGGCAACATGGACACCGCTGTCCTGTTCGAGTCGGCGCCTGGCAAGCTCGCGTGCCTCGTCGCCCCGTCTCGCGGCGGCTTCAGCCTCGATGCTGCCAAGCAGAGCGGGGCGGTGGGAGAGCCGCTCGAGGCTGTGCACTTTTGAGTCGGGCCTGACAGCAGACAGTCGATGTCACAAACACACAAATCATACGACACAGTACTACTGCTGCTGCTGCTCCTGCTTGAAAAAAGAAATAATAAATAAAACCGACAACCCGTTCCTTTTGCCCATCTCACAGACACAGTAGCGTTAGAGGTGTCCGTTTTTATTTATATTTACAACCCAAGCGAGGATGAAAGGACGGCACGCCGGCAAGGGATTTTACTAGGGATTCTGATTTCGCCTTGGGGGATGAGAGAGAGAGAGAGAAGTCTTGATACGAAACCACGACGACACACACCAGTCGACTCGCATCGGTTGCCTCCATGAACGGCGGAGCTATTCTCGCGCCCACACCACACCTGGCTCCAACGTGGACACGCCCATAGCTGGGGACACTACTAGGTCACGCATGGCATCACAGAAGTTTTATCTCTGGGCCCCGAAAGGCATCTCTCTCTCTCTCTCTCTCTCCTTGGGGGATGCCGTTTGATACTGCGGTGGTGTAAATGCACCGTCAACCTGTTATTTTTCGCGGCCTCGCTGGGCGCCTGGCCTCCACTTCCCCTCCCGCGCTCCCGAGTATGCAAGACAGTTGGAATGTGCCCGCCACGCCGGGCCTGAATTCGTTCAGCGAGGACGATTGCAGCATGCCCGCCGTTGACGAGTGGCGCCCGCGGCCGCGGCGCCCACTCGCCCACCCGCAGCGCTGCGACGGCTCCACAGTCGCTCTATTTGCGTACGCAGCGGCCCCGCCGCGCAGTTCCACGCCTGCGGGCGCGAGGGCCGCGTCGCTGCGACAGGACGACGACGGGCGTGCTCGCTTCTCCGGTCGACTCCGCTATTACCTGCCCGAGGGCTGGTGCTCGTCGTACAAGTTCACCGTCTTTGAGCGCTCTTACGTGGTGCAGCTGGACTCGCACGGCAGCGAGCAGTTCTGCCTCGCCCGCCCGGTCACCGCCAGCCTCGCCGACGCCGCGCGCGACTTTGAGCTCGTGTGGCCGGCGCGGCAGCGCCCTCCTCTCTCCCCCCCGAACCTCTCCGCCTCTCCGGCCCTCTCTGGTCCGTGGCCCAGAGCACCGTCCCTCTCCTCTCTTCCGCAGGTGCCTCTCGAGCCCAGCATCTTG